CACTTGCATATGGGAGGGCTCTCCTTCTAGATGCTCATCCGCATCTACGCCATGTGCCCCGCCCCGGGGGCGCGCTGTGAACATTTGGGAATACGCCCTGAGCCTCCCTCCTGTAAAAGGCCATTTTCGGGAGACCTCTTGTAGAGGCCTGTGTTTCGACCTGAGAACTTGTGCGCAGACAAGCATTCTCCTCACACTTTTCGTCGCCACGTGCTGGAAAGTGCTAGACAGTTTGTGTCTAAGAGGCGTTTCCTGGGCTCCAAATCCGAGAGCCCCAAGGCGGGAGTGCAATGTGGCGAATCGCACTGGATTTTTGCGTCTTCGGACGTTCGGGAGTACGCCCGAAATTTCCCCCCAAGTCGGGAGTAGTGTGGCGAGGCACGCAGGCAACGACTGCTCTCCCAGAAAAGCCGATGGCGTAGTTTTGGGGAACTTTGGGCGGTATCTGTCCGGTCATCTTGCCACTTCTTTCAACCAGGTGGAATTTCTTATTGAGGAGGCGCCGCCACAGTCTATTCTGTGTCTGCGATTCTCGGCAAAGTCTTCTTACTTCGCCTCGGCGGATCCCTTTTTCGTTCAGCAGGAGGGGCTTAGCAGGGGGAGAGGGAAGGCTTCTTCTTGGTTTCTCTTTCGCCATGTCGTATCTCAGAGACACTGATGACGAATATTCGGTCGAGGTTGATGATGAGGAAGAAAACGAAGACGAGGATGGAGACGTTGAGGTTGGTGACGTTCTGGAGCTCGTCGCCGCCGGCCGAGTCAGCACGCTTGCCAAGAAGAAGGGCGTCTATGACACACCGGGTCTTCGCGATAAGCTGGAGGATCTCGCCTGGCCGTCCGATCTGGACAAGATCCAGACGCTGACGTGGACTTATGGCGATGCCGGCGATGCCGGCGATGTGGCCATTGAGAAGGTTGACGTCAACGACGATCTTGCTAGGGAAATGGGCTTTTACACCCAGGCCATCAGCTGCGTCAAGCAGGCGTACCGCCTCTTCGAGGCCCGGAAGATCCCTTTTTCCCGTCCTAACGATTATTACGCGGAGATGGTGAAATCGGATGCGCACATGTTGAAGGTGAAGGACAAGCTGTTGTACGAAAAGCAGGTGATGGAGGAGAAGGAGGAGAGGAGGAAGCAGAGAGAAGCGAAGAGATATGGAAAAGAAGTGCAGGCGGAGAAGCTCAAGGAGAAGGCCAAGCAGAAGAAACAGGCCATCGACAGCATCAAACATATGAAGAAGACTAGGAAAGGCGATGGCGATAGCCGCGGCGGCGGCGGCGGCGGCGACGACGGCGACGAGTTCGATATCGGGTTGGAGGATGACGCGGAAAATGGCCGGGGGGAGAAGACGACGGGGGGGGGGCGGGGAAAAGGCGGGGGAATGGTGGCTGGCAAAATTGGAAATAGGGTTTACGAGGAGCACAAGGTGAGCAAGAAAAGGGAGGCAAAGAATGAGAGGTTTGGCTATGGCGGGAAGAAGAAGCAGAGGAAGCAGAACGATGGAGAGTCAGCAGCGGATATGGATGGTTTTAGGGGAGGGTTTAAGGATCGCGAGATGATGAGAGAAGATAGGATGGGAGGTAGAATGGGTGGCGGTCGTGGAGGCAGAGGAGGTAGAGGAGGAGGGAGAGGAGGGAGAGGAGGAGGGAGAGGAGGAGGGAGAGCTGGTGCGCCTGTTGGGCTCAGAAAACTTACGGCGAAGGGGACGAAAAAAAGACCCGGCAAAGCTATGAGGATGAAGTTGAAATCCCGCAATTTTTAATGTTAATCGCTCTCTTTTTTCCCCCTTCCTTTTTACCCACTCTTCATCGATTCCTCCCCCCCCCCCCCTACGAGATCTGGCGGGCGATCAGAGAGGAAATGTCATTGTCCCTTTTTGAATGGCTGTCCTTTTATTCTTTGTGTTTTTGTTTTTTGTATATCTACGTGGACTTATTGGATCTTCTTTTTGTGTTTTTTTTTTCACCAATAAAAAACTTACCTATATATTCGTCTCTCAATTTCACCTTTCACTATCTACCTACTACTACTCCTAATTAAGGGGATGCATGGGTTCATCACCTACAGGGGACCTCTGCAGGTATAGCTACCTCTCACAATTAAGGGGATGCATGTTGCCCCCCACCCTAATCGGGGTGATAGGCGGGGAAAAAAAAAACGAAACGTGCATGGAAAGCGGGAAAAATAGGAGACGTGGATGGAGGGGCGGGCCTGCACGCACACCCAGATTAGGTATAATAGACCCAGTCATTGAAATGTTGCCTTGATTGGACTCTTTTATGGTATGGCGACCCTGAAGGTATAGAGTGGATTGGATGTTTGTCATTACGTCCCCAGGGAAAAAACGGAGATTGTGCGTGTGTAGGAGCGGGTGGATGGGTGTCTTCTTCTTTTTGGCGCCTGGTTGCACTAATCGCCGTCCACCAACATTTTGAATGCATCTGGACACATTTTCGTCCAGATGCATTCAACATACTGGCGGATGACAACTACGGTAGGGCCTTACCCTACCTACCGTTGGTTTGTCCACCCCGCCTTCCGAAGCCGCAGTGACGGCGGACGCACGGTGCGGGTTGGGTGTCTTCTTCCTCTTCGCGCCTAGTTGCACTAATCGCCATCCACCAACATTTTGAATGCATCTGGACACATTTTCGTCCAGATGCACTCAACATACTGGCGGATGACAACTACGGTAGGGCCGTACCCTACCTACCGTCGGTTTGTCGACCACGCCTTCCGAAGCCGAAGCCGCAGCGACGGCGCCGCAAACCGCGGACCGCGGACGCACGGTGCGGATTGTTGCTCATCCCGAACCCTCTGGTCTTGCTCTCTCTGCCCTTTCGGCTGGCCGAGCTCACAGGTGCGGATGTCAGTGCTGACTGTAATCGCCCTACTCTACTGCCTGCGTAGATGAGCAGTTGTGGCGGCCGCACTGTCGTTGTCGGTGACACTCTCAGGCATGGGCACGGTCGTGATGGCCGTGCGATCCCCGTCGAGTAGCAACGCATATAGAAGTGCTGCTGCTGCTGATGTACACCTAGCGCCTGCTTTCCAAGTCGTCAGAAGTGATCTCAAGAGGGGCAGCTTATCGTACCTGTGCAGCGGCGAGTGCCTGTGTGTCATTGTCCGCTCCCCCGTACGTTGCTCTCACTGACTGTAGGTCTTCGTCTGACACGTCGCGTTAGCCTGTAGCGTGACTTCCAGTCAACGGATCACCTCCTCTTCCAGTGCGTGGCTTAATTTTCAACCGTTCAAGCTGCGGGCGTTCGCGCGCATGTCTGTGTGCGCGCTTGTTTGCATGTGTGTGCTTGTTTCGTTTGTGTGTGCGCGGGGCGCCAGCGCGAGATCTGTGTGTGTGTGTGTGTGTGTGTGTGTGTTGTCATGCTCGCTACGCACAACTCTACGTATAAAGGTATGACTGTGGCAGAGTGGCTCATCTTCTAGTCATCAGAGGTTAAACCCCAAAAGTTTGCCCGGATGCATTCGACTGATGAATAAGGGACTCACCAGATGGCCCAGAGTTAGCGATAGCCCCGAGAAAACTAGTGGATTCCACTGTGTGTGTGCGTGTCCCTCCTCCCTGCTCCTCTCCCCTCGCCCTCCGTCCTCCGTCCTCCTTTCTCCTCCTCCCGCCTTCCTCCTTCCTCCTCCCGTCACGTGCCACGTGGCACACCGGCACGTGTTTTTTTTTAATATGGTTCTCGTCCTCGTCATCGTCCTCCCTCCTGCTCATCCTCCCTCCTTCCTTCCTCCTCTCCACCCCTCCTCCTTTCTCCTCCGCCATCCTTCTTTCTCCTCCTACTCCACCTTCCTCCTCCCTCCTTTCCCTCTCCTTTCTCCTCTCTCATCCCATTGCGTGTTACGTGCCACCCGGGCACGCTATTTTCTTTCCATCCTCCTCCCTCGTCTCCGCTCATCCACCTCCTTCCTACATCCGCAGAACTCACAGCAATCGCGTCAGAAGTTCAAATCTCTTCGCTTCCGCTTAGAGGGGAAAACAAAAGAAACTTGAACAACAAAAGGAAAGAAAGGAAAGCTCACGAGGAAGGAAAAGATTAAAAAGAAAAGTCCAGGCAGGATGCCGAGCGGAGAGTCCATCGCGAACGACGAACCAGTATGTGAACCCCTCCTATCCATGGAGGAGAGGGAACCTAAACGTCCGCACGACGATCTCTGTCCCTCCTTGGTCCTTTGGTCCCCGCTCGCCCAAGGCCGATCTTTTGAGCATAGGACCGCCGCATTGCTGCAGTGGGCCGCTGCGGACCGGTCGTGTATCTTTCACGGATTACCACCATAGCCAAACCTCTCATGCTTTGGGCCGACTGTTCCTCTGTCTGGGAGATATTACGGTTTCCGTCGTGCGGTATGGTGCCCCTTTTCCGTGCGGCTGACTGTCCCTCCGTTTTCGCACGGATTATGGGTCCGACTGCCCCCGCCTCTGTGACCCGGCTGAGCACTTCCGGGATCAGAGTGTTGAACCCTCTGTGCTTTTCTCAGAAAGACTGGAGTACATGCGAACGAATTCCCGCTTTGTTTTTCTGGCCAATGATCCTCCTGCCACCTCCGACGTCCTCCTACCTCTTCCCTCTTCCCGTCGCGCCACCTTTCCCACCGGCACGTGATTCGTTTTTCATTTTCTTTCTCCTCCTGCTCCTCCCTCCTCGTCTCCCCTCGTCCTCTTCCCTACTCCTTTCTCCTCCCTTGTCCTCCTCTCCTCTTCCTCCTTTCGCCTCCCGTCATGTGCCACGTGGCACATCGGCACTCGTTTCTTGTGTTGTTCTCGTCTTTGTCTCCTCCTCCTCCTCCTCGTCTCCACTCATCCTCCCCTCTCCTTCATCCTCTTCCTCCACCTTTCTCCTCCCTCCGCCTTCCTCCCATCTCCTGCCGTTGTGTGCCTTGTGGCTCACCGCCAAATGTCGTCCATGACTGCATATTTGGTGTCAGGATCCAAAGTGAAGCAGAAAAGAAAAGAACAACTCGAATATAAGACGGAGAGAAATAAAAGATAGGAGTTTACAGATAAAGCCCTCTTACCTTCTCTCTCTCTCTCTGTGTGTGCGCTAGTTTGCCGCTAGCCTTCCCCCGTCCATTTCTCGTTAACCCTCTCCCCTTCTCTCTCGCATCCTGAATTGGGATCACCCTCTTCTAGTGCTCCTGTTCGTCGCTCTTTCTCGCTCTTCCTCGGTACCCCGTGGAACCTCCATCCGTCTCTCTCCCCGTTACTAAGCGAATGAAACACCTAGTGAAGCAAAGAAAGCAGGAAAACAAGAGAAAATTATCAAAAGCAACAGAGGAAAACAGAAGCACAAAACTACAAATGAGAAAGAGACGGAAGTAAAATGGCAAACTACAGAAAAAATCGCGAGTAATAAACTCCCAAGAGATCGGTGAGAAGTGACTGGAACGGCAGGCAGGAGGAGGTACAGTCACGTTAGAAGTACAAAAACGGAAAGAAATAAAAAGAAGTCTTAACCAATCTGACACCCCGTCTGGGGATACATGACGGGGATTTAACTGTGTGCAGGGGTATGGAGATGCTGCGAGGAATCCCTCAAAACCGTGACCACCGAGCATCCCTTCTTAGCTCTGCATCTGCATACGTACTATAGAAAGGGCGCGGGGGGGCACAGGTCTGTGAAATCTCAGGGGGGGGGGGCGCAGAGGGTTGTTAGATCCATCCACCCTACTGTAGTCCAATCATGAAAAGCCTGTTTATAGTCCCGAGATATCTGTGAGGGGGCCTTCTTCCTTCCCCCCATCCCAAACTGCCTCTGGGATCAGGATAGAGGAGAGGAGAAACAGCGATGGCGATAACAGAACGGAGCAGGGTCATGCTTGTGCTCTTCTGCCCTTACCATCTCCTCTTTGTGCTTCTTTTCCGCCCTTCCATCTCTTCTCCCTCTTCCTCCTCTTTTCCACACGTAGAAAAACAGAAAAAGAAAGGAAAGAAACTACATCTAATGCACATGCAACACATGGAAGCAGATACAGAAAAAGAAAGGAAAAGAACACACACAAGCAGAAACAGGAGGCACTTGAGAGAAGAATGCAGCTTAGTTAAAAAAAAGTGGGAAATAAGAAAATGGACATTCGCTACAGAGATGATTACCATGGGCACTGCGTGAGAATCACATGCATAAATCGAGAAATGGTGAAAAAAAAAATCGAAATGGGCGTTTACCAAAGAAAGCGCCTCCATCGGGGCATTCTCCTACTGGATGGGATAATGAATGTTTTGTTGTATTTCGCTTGGAAGATATGAACCTGGGCCACTCTCTGCATAATATGCATGTGCGTCCAATTCTCCTACCGGGTCACAAAAATCACTGCAACAGGTTAGCGTCGAGTCACACATGTCACGATTTTCATTGGGTACGTAGAAATTGTAGATTCTCTGTGACTGCGGCTCATTGAATCACTACCGTAGCCGAGAAGAGAAATAGAGAAGAAGAGGAAAAACGAGAAGGGGAAATTTTCGAACTGCCCCCTCCGACAGCCGACTTACACTGTTGTGCCCATGGGGGCTCTGAAGTTTCCTGCAGGTCCCTGTCAGTGAGGGGTGCAGCATTGCAGCATGCCCCTGTGGCCGTAGGTGGCAATGGCGGCCAGTCCCCTAGCCCTGGGAGCGGATCTACCGGGGCATACTGGAAATTTTGAACGGGTAGTGTTAGGGGCATATTGAATATATTTCGGGCCCAAACGTTGCCAGGGGTCTTTCCGAAACTTGTTGTCAGAGGGGTGTGACAGGGTCATACTGCAAATAAATGGAAATCAGATGGGCATTTTGAAAACTTTTCCCAAAAAGAATTAGAAAAATGAAAAGAAAAAACAATTTAAACCCCCAATACGT